TGTCCGCACGTGAAGGGCAGAGGGTGGGGCTGATGTGGCTTGAGAGGGACCTGGGGCCTTCCAGAAGAATATGTTAGGCCACTTGAGAACAAGGAAGATGGGGCTGATGCTCCTGTAAGACCCCAAGCTGCTGCCGGTCTGATAGCCCCACATGCAGTCTGAAGTCACGACTTGGAATCTGTCAAGTCAGCAGTTGCTGTCTACAAGTGGTTCTTTGGGATTGCCTTCGTGGGGCAGATATAAGCAAAGCTGCAAGGGGCAGCTTCTGCCCTCTAGCCTGGCACAAGCCTCATGTTTGCCTCCGGTACAGACCTCTGTGGTGCTTGGTTATGCTTTCTGTTTTCCGTTATGTTCTATTAGGCCCCACCCACATTTGCTCCCTACCCATGGCCAGTGGGAAGCATTGGCTGGAACATGGAGTTTGGAGCCCCAAGACCTAGCACCAGTACTTCCATGTTATGTCCCATGTTATGTTCAGACATGTTATTTAATAATACTGGGCCTCAGTCTACTGAACTGTATAATGGGGATAAAGACAGTCCCCCTTCTTTTGTTTGTCTTGAGGATAGGTGAATTAGCAACAATCCCTGGTGTTTAGTAAAAGTGCTAATTTACAAAATTTCAGGTGGAAGAGAAAGGAAAGAGACTGTATTTGGGAGAGGCAGGGGTTAAGGCAAGGGCCCGGGGTATTCATCTGAAGAAAGTGGACTGTGGAAGCAGAGGGGAGGATGCAGCTGAGACCAAGTGCTGTAATGTTTATGCCAGAAGGGAGGCTGCAGACAAGTCCAGGCCAAACAGCATTAGCTGTGACCACTGAAGGAGCAGCTCCTCTGGGCTGGGTGGTTCACATACAGCATTGCTAATCTCAGATGACCTCTTTCAAGTGGATGTTCTCATTTTCTTATTTCAGATGGGGCAGCCAAGGCTGGAGCAGGTTATATCATGTCCCTGGCTCTCCCTGGCAGTCACTGAGGAGTTCTGGGTTAGAATCCATGCTTGTTGGACCTCAAAGCTAGTGACCTCAATGCCTTGGGCCCTCAGTTTCATTGTAATTTGCTACCTGCTAGGATTAATTATAAATAGAATTAACAATGAGCAAGAGAATTTCTGGAGACATAAGAAACTATTTTTAAAAGGATTGATTCTAGGGAAGTTCTAGGGCATAGGATAAGAGAGTAACTTATATTTTGGGGGGATTTCTTTGATTATTATTTTTTTTTTTTTAGTTTTGGCAGGTAGTGTACTTTTTATTTATTTATTTATTTATTTATTTTTTAAAGATTTATTTATGTATACAGAACTGGGGTACAGGCCAGATGTACAGGGGCGGTGAGAGGATTCACCAGCGACAGAGTGGGGAGCAGAACAGGCCGACTGACGAAGTACACTGCTGAGGGGAGCAGCGGGCGGGTCAGGAGAGGTCTGCCATGCCATGTGGGTCAGCTCCAGGGCAAGTGGGGATTGAACTCATGCGGAAGTAGGCTCAGCTTCTCAGTGCTGTGCTTTAACCCGCTGCGCCACTAGGGAGGGCCCACTTTTTATTTATTTTTTTAACTGTGGACTGTATTTTGACTCTTTGAAAGTGAAAACCAAGTTTCCTTTGCACTTCCATCTCTTTAGCCCCCCAGGCCAGTGACTTCACAGGGAGGCAGTTAAATTCCTGTATTGGGAATAGACATTGTGGGTTTCCCCTGCCTGGGTGTAGTTCAGCCTGGCCTTGCCACCGACTGACCTCCCAGATGAACATGACCTTGCCGCTTTTGCTCGCTTTCTTCTGTGAAAGAACCACCTCTAAAGCCCTACAACAGTCTCAGCTTCCATGAGCCAAATGTCTTCGAGAAGTTTCTCCTCCATGCTCAGGCCTCCCTGTATTAAAAAAGGCCTGGCAGCCAGGATGTTCTTTCTCATGTTTATTTATTCTTGGATCTTCCTGAAGCCATTTCACCCTCAGCTTTCTGCTTCTCTGCCAGCCCCCATGTGGAGTCCTGCTTTGTCCCTGCCTCTCTCCGGGAAGCAGAACCAGAGCTGCAACTTAGTGCCTGAAGGAGTCGGCCTTGAACCCAGGCACTGCTTCCTGCTGCTGCCCACTGTCCTCCTCCTGCACCCAGGTCTCCCTGCTACTCCCTTTTCAGCTCATCAAGGGACTGCAGTGAAAGGAAACAGCCTCAAAAAGACTTCCAAGGTGCCGGGAGGGGCTTCTGAGTGGCCCTGTTCTTAGGGAAGCCTTTCACCATCACAAGTGGTCAGACAAGTGGTCAGAGGGGCCTCAGGTTTCATGCCCTCCTGCAGGCCCCTGAGATGACCAGCTGGTCCAGGGAGGGAGTAGTGGCATCCCTCCTGGAGGTCCCTGGAGTCTCTGTCCCGGAGAGCCAGGCTTGGCCCACTGGGGCACGATTTCTGGAGTTTCTTGGCTCTGGGTGAAACCAGATACTCAGGCTTGGGAAGGTGACTGAAGGTCCAGGTACCTCAGTGCTGGGTAACCTGCCTCTTCAGCCTGATAGCAGTTGCTTCTAAAGAAGGTAAATGTGGGATGAGGGGTAGCAAGGACCCCATAAACTCTGCTCAGCTGAGGCATGCGGAGAAGGGCCCCACCTCAGTGTTGTTCTCAGACCCTCAGGTCTACTCATTCCTCACATTAGTGGTTTTATTTATCAAATGAGTGGTAACAGCTCCGTGAGAGAGGCTGATGAATCTGGCCCCCAAGCCTGGTATGCAGGATGTTCACGTTCTGGGTTCAACTCAGCACTGATTGGGTGCCTTTACACACCTTTCTTTTCCAAGACACAGGACAGCTGTGTCCCTGTCTTATCTCTGTTACTCTGGGTGCCTCTGAACTCAGACTCTCAGCACAAAGTCAGGACATTGGGAGAGAAGCAGAACTTTTTCCAAGAATTGCTTTTGGAAGCAACCCCTGTTGCCAACACACATGCATGCGTGCAGCTTTTCTGAACAGAGATTGTATCATAGATCATCATCACAAAACATCCCTTTGGGGCCCAGTGACAAACACTACAGAGTTCAGGGTCATTAGTTTTCCTCCTATCCAGACAGTGCATGGTGTCCGGAACCCGTGGTTACCAGGGGGAGGAGGCAGGGACCTGGCCCAGCTCCCAAGCTGAATGCTGCTGACCAGCCCGCAAGCTGGGAGGCGGAAGAGCTTTTCCAATAGGCAGGGGTGGGGGCACAGGCCTCAGCCTGCGCAGCCCCTGGGAGTGCACCCAGGAGCCCAGTTCAGAAATCTCTCTGGGGGTCCTGTAGAAGAAAGAGGTGGGCCTAAGAAATCCCAAGGCGACGGCTGCCAGTCCCAGGGGTAGTCAGGCTGCCTCCTGCACCAGGTTCCTTGAGACCCAACAAACCCTGAGGAATATTTATGCCCCATCCGTCCTAGGCAGGGGGCCAGGAGAGAATCATTGCGTTCAGCTCACTGCTTCCCACAAAAACCTGCGTGTACCCAGCACAGCTTACAGGAGCTACAGAGAACATGACCGATGGGAATTGTGGAGGTGGTAGACTCAGAGTGGATGCTGGTGGAAGCAAGGAGGGTGTTGGGGTGAGCTTCTGAGACTTAGGCTGGACTTTATTTCTTTTTTAAGATTTATTTATTTATGCATACAGAACTGGGGTACAGGCCAGAGGTCCAAGGGCAGTGAGAGGATTCACCAGAGACAGAGTGGAGAATAGAACAGGCAGATCAACAAAGTACACTGCTGAGGGGAGCAGCGGTCCAGTCAGGAGAGGTCTGCTCGCCATGTGGTCACCTCCGGGGCTGGGGATCAAACTCTACTGAGGCTACGGCCAGCTTGCAGTGCTGCGTCCTAACCCATTGCGCCACCAGGGAGGGCTTTAGGCTGGACTTTAAAGGATGAGAAGAATTCGAATCAGTGGAGTAGCATTTTCCTACCAAACTAACTGTCTTCCAGCTCAGGACACTAGTGTTTGAGGGCAGCTGCCTGGAGTTGCCTCCTCCCCCCTGCAGCACTGGCCAGCAAGGAGTTCTCCTTTTTCAGCTCTGGAAGAGGAACTATGACAGCCCTTTAGGCACAGGCTCAAAAGAGCACACCAACTATCTTCAGAAAATAGCCCCTGGCCTGAGTCTAACCTGAGCAGGGCTTCGGTGTCACCAAATGTCTCCCCGGGGCCTCCCAGCTGCCACCCTAATGGTTTTGTATGGGGGGATCTGCGTTGGGACCGCAGGGGATAATGGGGCCCATCTTGGACAGATGATATCAGACTTGCCTCTGCTTTACCCTGCCGGCCAGCTTCTGGGTCCTCTTGGTCACTGCTGTCCCCCAGTTTGGACCTCCTGTGGGGGGTCTCATGAACTCTGGATTGAATAGGACGGTGCAGGATTAGACTTAGGGACCTGGGAAGAGGGCCATTTACAGGAGGAAAGACTCTTCTTGGTTATTGGAAATAAAGACTGAGGGATTCTTTCCTGTTGGGGCAAGAGGCTGCGGGACACAGGATGAACCAGATGGGGACGGGGTCGGGGGAGAAGGGGCCTTCCTGTGGGGTCCTCGGCAGTGCCTTCCAGACCCACTTTTCACATTTCATACCAGATTTGACTCCAGATGACCTTGTTCCTCCCCGTTGGGAGGGAAGCACACTTTCTCCAGGCCTGCTCCTCCCATCACCCTCCTGGTGGCCTCACCAGCTACCCAGTTCCCCACCTGTGGCCCCCACCTTCCAGCCCTTGTTCCCTCAGGGCTAGGGGAGCCTGGGTTGGCCACTCAGGGGAGGTTGCAGCTGAGCGCATCACAAGGCTGAGTGCCTTCCAGGTTCCTGCTGTGGCCTGAGCTGCAGGTAGAGCTCAGAGTCTCTGGGTGGTTGAGGACAGGGCTAGGGAGCTCACTCACTGGGCCTGGGATTTGAGGAAAGGAATGAGGATGAGTCATCTCTTTTTGGTGCCAGGTTTTAGAGTGCTCAGACTGGGATAAGACCCCCCTCCCCACCCCTGGAACCCCTGCTGTGCCCTCACTTCATTTCTCTTCTCTCTGCAGATGGGACCCAGGTGAGCCCGAGTGCCCACTGCCCCCGTGCCCCTGGCACAGGTAAGAGTCAGACCCGAGGATGTGTGTGGGGAGGGGAAGGTGTAGGGTAGAAGGTCGTGGAGGACACAAGGGGCCACATGGAGGAGGACTAGGTGGATTGGCCAGAGAGTTGGGAGCTTGGGGTTTGGAAACAGCAGGTTTTGTAGGGAAAGGAAGAGGGATGGAGACAACAGGGATAGCTCTGGGTACAGGCTGGTCCTGGCACTAGCAAGTGGAACAGGAAAAGCTAAGGCAGGTTGCTCCCCTCGATTGGCTGAGTGTGCGAAACAGGAAGGCAGGTAGGAAGCTAATATCTATCCTGAGACCCTTGCTTCACATCAGGCTGTGGGTCAGGCGGCTTTTTCCTTTGTAGCCTCCTTTAGTTCTCACACCAGCCCTGCCGGGGGGATGGGGAAGTCCCCCTCTCGTTGGTCCTCTCTCTGTGTGTCCTCCCGCTGCCACTGAGGCCCAAGCCCCATTTGCTGTCAGGTGCCCTGGGAGGGGGAACCGGACTTCTTGTTCTCCTCTGGTTTAGTACCTGCCCCTGAGGCTGGGGCCAGACTGATGAGGGCTGCCCCTTCCCATGTGAGGGCCCGCTGGCAGCCACTGCAAGGGATGACCCATGAGGGCATGTGGTAGGGAGACATCAAGGCCAGGTAGCCACTCTGCTGCAGTTGGGACTGTGCAAAAGTGGGTAGGCGGACTGATGGGCAGGAGATAGGACACACAATTAGGAGAGAGATAATAGTAGAATACAGTATGTGACCAGTGCCGAAAGAGGGGAGGCTTCACTAGTGAGTGTTTTTTTTTTTTTCCTTCAGTAGAAAAGAACTTTAATAGAATTAGTGTGCAATAGAAGACGAGGTAGTGGTTCCCAATTAAAACAAATGAGTTTAATTAATGCATGAGTTTAACCAATGAATTTTAATTACTGGGTTAAGAAATTCATTCAGGAAACATTAAATTACCACCCATTTTCACTTAGCCCTAGATGTGTACTTTCTTAGAGATTTAATACAGAAATTGGGAAGAAAAATAATATGAATGGACCCTGCCTCTGTGCCATGCTACCTTCCTGGGCATTTCAGGGGCGATCCTGAGATAGATTTGTGGTAGAACCAGTCAGTGTTGGTTGTGTGCCCTTCGGGTGCCCAGTGCTGTCCTTGGTGTTGGGGTCCTGAGCAAAAACAGGACCTTTTCCTGTGGCTCTCAGGTCGGATGCAGCACCCACCCACAAGGTGCTCAAGAGCACTGTGACTGAAGTCCAGAAGAGGCAGGCGCCGGGCAGGGCGCAGGAAGAGGGGGGTCCAGCAGGCTTGGAGGGAAGGGCAAATTCTGGAAAAATAGAATCTGGGGGTGAGGGTAGCACTGGCTGGCTTTCTGAGTAACAGGACAAAAGATACCTGTTCTTGGGACAGTAGCTGATGGCTGGGGTGGAGGGCTTGCATTAGGATGCAGGGGACAAAGTTGAGAAAAGCCAGGTTGGCAGCAGGTTGTAAGATCCCCCAAATGCTACGTCACCCCAAGAGGCCTTCCCAGGCTTGCAGACATAGCTTCTCCAGTGTTCTGGCAGCCTCTGCTCTGTGATGGTGCTGTGAGTGAGGGGTAGGGTTGTTGTGTGTATGAAGCTGCTGGCTGAGGGCCTGGGGTTCGTGCCCTGGGTTCCCTGGTATGGCTCCTGCCCTGTTGAATTAACTCAGATGTGGTGCTTGCCTGCAATTATGCCTTGCATAGTCAGGGAGTCATCCCAGTTAGCCGGGACACCAGATACAGGAAGACTGAGGCTCTTCCTAGGGTGCCAGAGGCCCAGACTCATCCAGAATGGGGATCTGCATACCTGCATAGATGCATAAACAAGAAGGGTACCAGACACATTCACTACCCTGGTGGGCCACTTAGCCACCCCCTCTGGTCTCCTCATCTGGAGGGTGGTGGCAAGTACCTCCTCCTCCTCAGCATCTTTCTTGTTTCCATCTCAAGGAAGCACATGCCTCTTTGCAAATCCCTCACCCTTTCCCCAGTTAGAAACCAGGGGCTGGGAGTGAGGGGGATTGACTCCTTCGTAAAAGTGGGTAGAAAAATGGAGTGGGAGCATTGGCCTCATCAGGACTGGAACCCGTGCTCCCTCCGCCTGAGCCATGTAGCCTTGGACAGCTCCCTTCTCCTGAGCCTCAGTCTCCTCATTTGCGATAATGGATTTCTCCTGGGTTTTACAGGAACATGTGCAGCTGTGCTTCAGCTGATTGTAGTGGCCGGGCTGACCGGAGGTAGAGTATCCTGAATCCTAGCTGGCACTTCGCCACCGTGCTTTTCAGGCTGTCTAAGCCTCAGGTGCGGAGGAAAGCAGGTAGCTGCCCCATTGGGGCTGTTCACTGCTGAATAGGCAGCCTCTTGGGGAGGGTTTCCCACTTGTGTGCCCTGTCTCCCGAGTACCTGCTACCCTTCTCCAGGAGAGGTGTCTGCAGCATTTCCACCTCGGAAAGGCTCTGGCTCTTTGGCCCAGCCTGGCCCAGCTGGCCGTGCTGGCATGGAACCCGGTCATTGGCTAGTTAAAAATAGCCCTGCACCCATGGTCTTGGCATGGTGCTGTGATGTGGATGCAGAAGACACTTGAGGAGAGACAGCCCAGCCTGCTGCCTGCCCTGAGCCAGGCACCAGGGGCATACCCTGTGCAAGCACAGATGGCAGGCCAGGGCCCATGTTAAGTTCGAGACATTGTTTCTCATCCCGTGGCCTGGGACAGTGGAAGGGTGGTGACTGGGGGTGGGGGGGCTTAGAGACCTTCAGGGGTCAGAGGGACAAAGGGGAATGTTTCCTTTCTGCTCACTGTGCCTTTTTTGAGAGCAGCTATTAGAGGGCAGCTGGGCCAATCCTCATTCCTGGCAGAAGAAGGGAAGGAGACAACCCAGAATATATCACTATGACGCACATAGTCCTCGCCAAATCCTCACAGCCTGGAAAGCACTAGCTTGGAGCTGGGAGGCTCAGGTCAGACCCCAGCAGCAGTAAACTAGCGGTACCCCGGGCGAGATGCAATGGAGCGTACCCATCTTGCAGGACTCTGGTGAGGAGGACATGCAGAGATGGCCCCTGGAAGGGGTTTTACCATCGTCAAGGAGCCTGAAGGAAGCCTATAACCTTGGAACCGCGGATGAACTTCCCAGCTGAGCTCACCTCCTTCTGTATCTGCAGGCTGCCCCAGGCCCCCAGCTGACACGTCTGGCCGCCTGCCCCAGCCCATGGACCTGCGGGTGGGTCAGCGGCCCTCGGTGGAGCCCCCACCAGAGCCCACGCTGCTGGCCCTGCAGCACCCCCAGCGCCTGCACCAACACCTCTTCCTCGCAGGCCTGCAGCAGCAGCACTCAGCGGAACCCATGAGGGTAAAGAGCGCTACCGCTCTGGGCTGCCTGGTGGCCTGGAGCTCAGCCCCCCCACCCCCTCCCCGCTCAGTCGCCCATACCCTCCTCCACTTCTTGCGCCTTCCTGAGTGGCAGCTCTGTCCACAGCTCTCCAGGGACGCACCGATGCCCGAATTACAAGTTGGGCAGCAGGAGCAAGAGCTGCGGCAGCTTCTCAATAAGGACAAGAGCAAGCGGAGTAAGGAAGGTGGCTCCCTGGCGGGTGCCCTGCTACCCTCACGGGCGCATGTGGGCGGGGTGGGAGTGCTTCCAGCCGGTTCTTGTGACTCTGCCTCTGCATGTGGGTGGAGGCCCAGAGGCACAGAGTGTACAGGGTGATGGGTAGAGAATGTGCCGAGGAGCCACCAGCCCACCCACCCCTGACCCGCTCCTCAATCTCTGCCCCTGCAGGCGCCGTCGCCAGCAGTGTGGTGAAGCAGAAGCTGGCAGAGGTGATCCTGAAGAAAAAGCAGGCAGCCCTGGAGAGAACAGTCCGGCGCAATAGCCCCAGCATTCCCTACAGGTGACTCGCCCTCCTCCTTGCTCTCTCAAGTGCTCTGGCGTGCCAGCATACCAGCCTGCAGGCATGCAGCCTCGGCCCTCTCCCCGCTGCCCTACGGTGATCTTTTCCCGTACGGTGATCTTCTTCTGGGAAGAAGGCGTCCCTGTCCCTTCGGCTGCCCCATCTTCGCTCCTCGATGGTCTTGCCCCACCTGTCTGAGCCCTTGCTCCCACACAGGCACACACACATGCACACCACACTGACTTTTTCTTCACCATGAGTTTCTTCTCTTTCTGTATCTACCCCTATGCACAAACATATCCTGATTCCTGGAGCAGTGTCCTCCCTCGGGACACAGCGAGCACCCCCTGTGTCTGTCTCATTATCCAAGCCCGGACAGAGGCTGGCTTCTGGGCCCAGCTCAGAGATGGCACATGGGCTGCACTGCCTCCCCTGGGCATCCCCGGGGTCTATGCTGAGAGCCTGTGTGGATGTCGGCCAGGGCTGGGAATCCCCTCTCTGAAGAAGCTTTGCACTCACTCACTCTGCAGGACTCTCAAGCCCTTGGAGACGGAAGGAGCCGCCAGCTCCATGCTGAGCAGCTTTCTGCGTCCTGTCCCCAGCCTACCCAGTGACCCCCCAGAGCACTTCCCTCTGCGTAAGACAGGTGAGCCTAGGGAAACTGGGGTACCCTCCAGGGGTGAGGGCCTTGGAGTCCTGCCAGGAAGGTGGGGGGAGGGAGGCCAGCCAAGCTGGGGGGTCAGCGCTCTGTGCTTTTCTCCCTGGCTCTGCCTTCTCTTGCCTTACTCAGCAGTGGCTGGAAGGGAGGGTGGCGGGCAGGAAGGCTGAGAGTGGGTGCAGGGCCAGTGATGCTGTGACCCCGCAGTCTCTGAGCCCAACCTGAAGCTGCGCTACAAGCCCAAGAAGTCCCTGGAGCGGAGGAAGAACCCGCTGCTCAGAAAGGAGAGCGCTCCGCCCAGCCTCCGGGGTAGGCCTGCAGAGGCCCTTGGGGGTGAGGGCCGCCAGGGGGGCGGGTCTGGTCTCCTCCTCCCAGCATGGAGTCTCCTCCTGTAGGCTGCTGTTCTTACTTATTCTGGGTAGGGCCTCCACGTGCTCTGTGGGAGCAACTACAGGGCCGAGGGCCAGAACCTGCTCTGTTGTCTGACATCAGACATCAGGCTATGTCCGCCCGGAAGCAGGAGCGCCTTTTTAAAAAAGGATCTAAAAATGCTGGAGCCTAACATGGCTTGCTGCCGTTCTGGACACAGCAGGAAACAGAGGCCGCCTTTTGGGAAAGGGGTTTGTTCCCAGGTATCCTGGACTAGGAACCTGGCCTCTGACCGTGCTTCCCTCTACCCCCAAACCTCAGACTCCTCCCCCAGCAGCAGCAGCACACCTGCCTCAGGATGCAGCTCCCCCAATGACAGCGAGCACGGCCCCAACCCGGTCCTGGGCTCAGAGGTAAGGCTTTGCCGAACTGTCCCAGACATCTTGGAGGCTCAGCTTTCTCAGAAAGTGGCCCTAACAAGGTGGAGGCCGCAGGATTGGGGCAGCCCACCCGAGCCTCTGGGGTGTCCTGGGGAAGGCATGCCCAGGGGTAGAGGTCTGGGACGAGTGACCCCTGCCCTGCTCCCCATGGCAGGCGCTCTTGGGCCAGCGGCTGCGGCTGCAGGAGACCTCTCTGGCCCCGTTCGCCTTGCCGACTGTGTCCTTGCTGCCCGCAATCACACTGGGGCTTCCTGCTCCTGTCAGGGTGAGTGGCTGAGGTGCCCTCCCCCACTCCAAGCTCCCTGGCATCTGTCCCTCCCTTCTCCTAGCCCATGGCCTTCGCTGTTTTCACTGCCAGAATCTCCTCCCGTGTGACTTCTCCCCGCCTCTTTCCCAGGCTGATGGTGACCGCAGGACTCATCCGACTCTGGGCCCTCGGGGGCCAGTGTTGGGGAGCCCCCATGCTCCCCTCTTCTTGCCCCATGGCCTGGAGCCCGAGGCTGGGGGCCCCTTGCCCTCTCGCCTGCAGCCCATTCTCCTTCTGGATCCCTCAGTTTCTCATGCCCCACTGCTGACTGGTGAGTGTGCTGAAGCTCCCGGGGAGGGCTGGAGCCAAGGGCCCAGCTTGGGGAGGGGCTCGTCCTTCCTGCCCCTCTGCTGTACCCCCTCCCACGCATCTCCCTGCTGAGGCTTTGCCCCCAGACCCTGTTCCCTTGCTTCCTTTCATTGCTCCTTAGGGTTCCCTCCTTATGCCCCCCCACCCATTCTTTCCAGTGCCCGGGCTTGGGCCCCTGCCCTTCCACTTTGCCCAGTCCTTACTGACCACCGAGCGGCTCTCCGGGTCAGGCCTCCACTGGCCGCTGAGCCGGACCCGCTCAGAGCCCCTGCCCCCAAGCACCGCCGCCCAGCTGTTCAAGGTGAGGGGAACGGGGGAGAGGAGGTGGTGATGGGTTGCCTAAACTGGGCCCTTGGGGACTGAAAGAGGGGGGCTTAGGAAGGGCAGGGACCTGAAGGCCCAGAGAGACGTGGCTCTGGGAGCCATGACTGCATCCTCGCAGGAGCCCCCAGCAGGATAGTGGCCACCTAGTCCAGTCCGCCACACCCCACCTCATACACCAGTGTGACTTCTCAGTGGGTGTCTTTCCCTCCCCAGAGGTCGGCCAAGCCAAGTGAGAAGCCCGGGCTGCGGCAGATACCGTCCACTGAGGACCTGGAGACGGATGGTGGGGGCACAGGGCCAGTGGTGGAGGACAGCCCGGAACGCAGGGAGTCCACCCATGGGCAGCACGAGGCCAGAGGCCCTGTTCCTCTCCAGCAGCACCAGCAGGTATGGAGTGTCCAGGTTCCTCCCCTGAAGGAACAACCAGAAGACTGAGGCCTGGTGTGAGAATGGAAGGAGGGAGACAGGGTTTCAGCACCAGGGGCAGCTTGGGTCGCCCTGTCAGTCCATACTAAAGTGCACGCGCGTGTACACACACACACTTGTGTCCCTCCCCCCCCCGCTTACACACATGGTGCATACACATACATGCAGGCCCACACGGTACATACACATACACAGCTTGTCTGCACTCACTCACTCGCACAAACACACACCTGCAGCCTGCACTGTTGTGGGAAGCCGGGGCCCTGTCCAGTCTGGGTGCTCCTGCTGAGCACTCCCCTGTGGCCGGTTGCTGTGTGGCCAGTGGCTGAGGCAGAAAGTGGGGTGGAGCTGGGCTCAGGGGCTTCAGCCAGCATGCTCATCCTGAGTGAAACTAGGGGGCGTTTGCTAGGGTGGCTGTAACAAGTACCAGCAACTGAGGGGCTTAGGCAACAGAAATTTATCGCCTCACTCTGGACACTGGAGGTGTGCGCAGGGTTGTTCCCTCCTGAGGACTGCGAGGAAAGGGGTGAGCTCAGCCTTCTTCCCTGGCTTATCAATGACTGTCTTCCATGTGTCTGCATTGTCTTCCTTCTGCCTGTGATGGTCCACATTTCCTCTTTCTATAAGGGTGACCTCATTTTAACTTGAGTACTTCTATAAAGGCTGTTTTCAAATAAGTTCACAGTTTATATTCTGAAGGGTTAGTACTTTCACATATGAATGGGGAGCACAGTTCAATCCAAACTGTGGTAGCTGTTCACCTATGTGCAGAGGTTCACACAGGTCCCCATGCTCTGAGGGGAGGTGCATTGTCCTTGCACCCAAGGAGCTTCTGATTAGAACTGGGCTTGAGACCCTCATCTGGATGCTGGCTTAGAAGTCCTGCAGACCTGGGTGCTCTGGTGGAACTGGGTGGTCAGTCTGGGTGCAGATCTTTGGGGATCTGGCTGGCTAAAAGGCAGAGCAGGAGGCCTTCTGGAATCTTCAGGAAAGTAGTTTGCCTGACGTTTTCCAAAGCTCTTGGACAGAGGCCGACTATGTGGGATCCCGAGAGCCAGAGGCTCAGGCCCTGTGTTCCCCAGGTATTCCTCTGGGAGCAGCAGCGATTAGCCAGGCGGCTGACTGGTGGAGGCACTGGGAGCTCGGTGCTGCTTCCCCTGGCCCAGGGAGGTCACCGGCCCCTGTCCAGGGCTCAGTCGTCTCCGGCTGCACCTGCCTCGCTGCCAACCCCAGAGTCCACCAGCCAGGCCCGCATCCTCTCCAGCTCAGAGACCCCCGTCAGGACCCTGCCCTTCACCACAGGTGAGACGGGAGTTGGAGTGAGGCAGGAGGAAGGGTTGGAGGAGGCAGAGGTCGGGGCTCCACTCAGGACATTCTTGAGGCCACAGAGCACTGTCGTGCCTTGTTAGCCCCACACAGCCTCCCTGAAGCAGGTGCAGTCGGTGGTGGTTCTCGATTTATAGATCATATGTCATTGAGGTATTTTATTTTTATTTAAAGATTTCTTACTGTTGGGCAGTTAGACTTGCTCATTTTCCCTCAACTGAGTGCACACAAAGATCGTCTCCCAAGGATTGCTCTTAAGGCGTGGCCGTCTTGGGCCTTTCAAGGTCCCTGATGACCTGAGACGAGCTAACGGGGACTCTTTCACCAGCAGTGGCCAGGCCTTCTTCTAGGCATCCTGCTATTCAGGCACAATGGCTACTCAGCTACTCCCCACGGTTGCATCGTCTTGTCACATGGCCCTGTGTCACTGTAGGGTAGGCTTCCCAGCTCCTGGCTTGGGGGACTCCTAGGGATCCTGTCCCCCCTGCTTCTTTCTTGGTGGCCTCTTTGAGTCATGACATCTGGTGTGAGACCCTGGCCTCAAACCTCCCTTTGTTCCCTTTGAGCAAGTTAGACACATGGGCTGTGGGAGGAGGGCTGTGCCAGGGAGGCTGGACTGTGACAGTGATGTTGGCTGGAGCTGTGTGGGTGTGCAGGGGTGCCTGAGGCTTTCTTACATAAGTGGCTAGGGGTGTGCATATGGGTGTCGAGTCTGGAGGGCCAGGATGGGGTGTCCTGGACCTGACTCCCTGGGGGTGCTGTTTGTGGGGTGCCAGCACGAGCTGTTTGCAGCCAGGAGTCCAGCAGGTGGGGACTCCCTGGGTGGGGGTCTTGACCCTTGCTCCCTGCAGGGCTGGTGTATGACTCGGTCATGCTGAAGCACCAGTGCTCCTGCGGAGACAACAGCAGGCATCCGGAACACGCAGGCCGCATCCAGAGCATCTGGTCCCGGCTGCAGGAGCGGGGGCTCCGGAGCCAGTGTGAGGTGAGGGGGCAGGCCAGGTGGTGGGCATGAAGGCTCTGGCGCACCGGGACTGAGGAGCTCTGCGCGCCCTTCCTTAGTGTCTCCGGGGCCGCAAGGCCTCCCTGGAGGAGCTGCAGGCCGTGCACTCGGAGCGCCACGTGCTCCTCTATGGCACCAACCCCCTCAGCCGCCTCAAACTGGACAACGGAAAGCTGCCAGGTGAGACCTGTACCCACCCTGCTCGCCCAGCCGTTCCCCGTGCTCTGGTCCCTGCTCTGCCCAGCCTGTCCTTCTGGGATCCCTGACATCCCCACTCCTTGCCCCTTGCTACCCACATCCTGCCCAGCCCTCTTTTCAGGCCTCCCCACCCCCACCCCCAGCCAGCCACGGCTAAGAAGGCACAGTCAGTCACACAGGCTGGGCTCTCCCCACAGGGCTCCTGGCAGAGCGGATGTTCGTGATGCTGCCCTGTGGCGGGGTTGGGGTAAGTGTGCATTGTCTCTTGGACACTTTCTCTCGGACTCCCCTCTGTTCCCCCGGCCCTGCCCGGCGGGCTTTCCCATAATGCCTCTCTGCTGGCTGGAGGCTCCTCATGGACAGGTGTGCCCTTGACCCAGTATCTCCCGATGTAGATGCCAGTGCTTCGCATGTAGCTGTTTGGTAAAAGTCGAGTGAGGTTCGAAGAGGAGGGCCAAGATTAGGGCTTGGGGTGTCTCCCTCCATAAGACCCAGTGGCGCCTCTGGGCAGAGTTGGGGCTGCCAGACTTGGGCTGTGGGGTGCCTCCAGTGTTCTTGGTGATCCAGGCACTTTGCCCCCCAGGATGCAGCCCCGCAGCCAGCCTTATGCTTCCCCTCACCCTGCTTGGGGACTTCCTGCCTCTCCTGGCAGACTCTCCTGTCCTCAAAAGGTCCTTGCAGTGGTTTCCCAGTCTGGTGTTTGGAGGCAGGGGATGGAGGCCTAGTTCTGGAGGGGAAAGGGGAGCTGTAGCTGGGGGGTGCTCTGGGGGAGCCAGTCAGTGCCCTATTCACAACTTCCCATTTCTTGCCACTTTCTGATTTTTCCAACTGTTGTTGCTTCTGTTTTCTCCTCCCTCCTCTCCCTCTCTGTCTCTCTGTCTCTCTCTCTTTCTCCAGCCTCTTGCGACTCTCTCTGCCTTCCTCGCCTCTCTTGGTCCGCCTCGCCCTCCCCATCTCCCCATCATGCCCCCCGGCCCCTCCCTAGCCTTGAGGCCCAGGGACTGGGTTTGGGGGGCCTACCAGCCTGGGCTAGGGGCCCTGAGTGGAAGACAGTGGTGCAGACGGCCCCTCCAGCTCCGACCGTCCCGCAGGGCCTGAGCAGAGTCAGCTGGGGCTTAAAACCCCCTCCCGGCCCAAACCCCAAGTCCCGCCCAGGTAACGCCATGCTCCCTCCTCTGACCGGGGAGGCAGGCGCGATGCTGCCGGCAGAGTGCTGGCCTATATGGGCTGGTGATGTGGACTGCAGCTGGGAAGAAGCCATGCTGGGAATGGGGGACACAGGAGGCCTTGCCTTTGGGCGGTGGGGCACTGGGGAGGCAGCGCTGTCTGCCCAGCTCCCTGCCCCCTGGGGTCCTGGCCCTGGGGTGGGCTCTGGCCCCTTGCCCCTGGATCCTGTGGGGAGCCTGGATGAAGTGCAGGCCCTGACTCTGGCCCTCACAGGTGGACACTGACACCATCTGGAACGAGCTGCACTCCTCAAACGCAGCCCGCTGGGCTGCTGGCAGCGTCACCGACCTCGCCTTCAAAGTGGCTTCCCGAGAGCTAAAGGTAGGAAGTTTGAGTTAAATGGGGTGGGAGAAGCTAAAGGCCAGACACTCAGAACCCCAGCGTCCCATTCTCCTAGCTAGCACCCCGGGGTTTGGAGAGCTCTAATGACCAAGAGAGCATTGACCAAGCTTGTTACCTAGTTAGCAGTGAAGCCACTGTGACCCTGGCCTTCGGTCTCTAAGAGACAACAGGCCCCATTCAGGACCTCTCAGCCTAGACGCGCCCAGACTCAAGTCGTGTGGTGCCTCTGGGCCTCTGTGCCCTGCAGGTTGGTCCTCTGCAGAGCTGTGACTGTGGCCAGGCTGGTGCTTGTGTTCCTTTGCTCTGTGCTGATAGCTACCCCCGACTTGTCCTGGCCCTCCTGCCCCCCAGTTTGTTTTCAGTAGCCCAAAGCTCTCCATGTCCCCAGTGTCATGGTTCCTGGGTGGGGCTTTGGAATCCTGGCCCCACTGCTCACAGCCAGGCAACTCTGCACAGGTTGTTTAACTCGCCTGAGCTTCAGGTTTCTCTTGTCTGTAAACTGGAGATAATATTACTGTTTATCTCATGGCGAAGTTGCGAGGATTAGATAACATTTACCTCAGAGAGATGTTATGAGATGCATGCAGCACTTACAAAGTGCTTAGCCCAGCACCAGGTACACAGTTTTAGCCTAATAAGCAGCTGTCATGACAAGTGATGGCTGCCAGCGGAACCCAGGCTGAGGGTTCCGTGTTCATGCAGTCTGAGAACAGAGGTGCTGGCGTGGGGGCTGAGCATGGGGTACCTCATCTAGCCTGGGTGCAGTCAGACTGACTGCAGCTGTCACCCTGAGGCTCCTCCCTGGGAGAAGAAGTGCGGGTGTCGGAGGCAGGGCCGTGGAGATGCGGGTGAGAGAGCTGTCCGGTGACAAGCATTCTTTTTGTTTCTAGAATGGTTTTGCTGTTGTTCGGCCCCCAGGACATCATGCAGACCATTCCACAGCCATGTAAGATACTGAGGGAGGCCTGGGTGCCGCAAGATGGGGGCCAGGCCCCCAGGCCCTGTCTATTGGGACATTCCCCCTCCTTCCCGGAGGCTCTGGGGCTGGTGGAGAGAGGAGACTGGATCGGTGGAGACACCAGAAGGGAATGGGCTGGCAGGACCTCTCTCTCCTACCAGGGGCTTCTGCTTCTTCAACTCAGTGGCCATCGCCTGCCGGCAGCTGCAACAACAGGGCAAGGCCAGCAAGATCCTCATTGTGGACTGGGTAGGTCCTGGCTCCTAGCCCTTCAGAGCTGAGCGCCCTGTGGAAAGAGTCCTGAACCTGGCGTCACATGCCGTGACTTCATGTCCTCTTGATTAGCCCCGAGCCCGTTTCATTTGTGTGGCATGCAGGTGTCACAGAACGACTGGGGCCTGTTGCTGGGAAAGCCTCAGCCGTGGAAACTCCCATGATGGCTAGAAGCCATTTGACTATTGTCATCTGGTCTCTGTTGCTTTCCTTCTTTGGAGATATGTCACCCCTGCAGATAGTGATGATGATCATGATAGTGATGACATCAGCGTTTGACCCTAAGGCGTCAAACGCCGGTGGTGCTGTGAGGTGCTAACACTGAGCTGCCTTACAGAGGAGGGTGGTGAGCTCATAGGGGTCAGTCACTGGACAGTCGTGACTAGTCATTTCAGGGCAGGGCATGGGCTCTGCAGACCTGCCTGCTGAGTTACACCTGAGGAGGAAGCCAGGCCGTGGGGGACTGTCTGCACTTCACCTATGTGTGGTTCTGTGGCCCCTCCTGGGGGCATGGCACTGGGCCCTACGCATCTTCCCCCCATTATTGAGCTTCTGATCCCCTGCGTTGCTCTGTGACCTTGAGTGGACACCGCACTGAGGCTCCCTATGCTTACTCCTGGGCCTCTCTCCTGCCCCACATTAAATCTTGCGTCCTGCGGTATGCCCCCCCATGCTCTCTCACTGCAGCCAGTCTGTGCCCCATGCCCTATAAATATCTGTACCCATGGGGAGACAGGCCTGTGGGTGGCTTGAGTTCATTAAACTCTGGTTCTAGAAACCCTGGTTTCCTGACCCTGGGCTTAACATCCTGACCCTCAGAACAGTCTCCATCTCTGCTCTTGTACTTTCCCTGATCCGTTTCCTGTCTTCCCGCCAGGATGTTCACCATGGCAACGGCACCCAGCAGACCTTCTACCAGGACCCCAGTGTACTCTACATCTCCCTGCATCGCCATGATGATGGCAACTTCTTCCCAGGCAGTGGGGCTGTGGACGAGGTAACCTCACCTACCAGCCCCATGACTCCCTTGTAGCACTCACGCTGTTAGTTTTGTGAGCCCAAGCAGATTATTTAACCTGTCTGGTCCATTCTCCATCTGGAAGAAGCTGGCTAAGTTTGACTTAGGGCGTTAGCAACCCAAATTCCTCTTCTGGGCTCTGATCTCATGTCTGTTGTTTTCTGTTTTCTAGGTGGGGGCTGGCAGCGGCGAAGGCTTCAATGTCAACGTGGCCTGGGCTGGAGGTCTGGACCCCCCAGTGGGGGATCCTGAATATCTGGCCGCCTTCAGGTGAGAACTCCAGGGACACAGAGAGGGCCTGAACCACAACAGCACCCTCTGCTACCCTGAGCAGCAGGTTGGAGGTGATCAGTTAGCTTGTGTTCATTCCCTTCCCAGACATTTGTAGCTAGTCCCAGGGTGAGCGTTATGGACTCAGACAAACAGGGAAAGGCACTGTTTCTGGACTCTAGGGGTCCCCAGTCCCTGGGGGAGATGGGAAACACCTGAGAATTAAAAGTCAAGGGTATTTTATAAAGTGGTATGTCATAGAACCAGTGTTGAACTGAGTGCTGGGATCGGCAGGGAGTGAGCAGAGCTGCAAACATCAGTCAGAGAAAACTGCCTGGAGGAGGCGGGCTTCGCACAGAAGATGAAAAACTTAAACCGTGGAGGAAGAGTCTAAAATTGAGGGGAGTTGGTTAGGAAAAGCCATTCTAGAAGAGGAGCCTTGGGCTCTGTTCAGGAGCTCTTAGATACCTCACTGCAGGGACCCTCTTTTCTTTTTGAGTAGAGAGAAACTGGGAAGCCAGTCTCCAATTCCTTTTCTGGAGATAATCTCTATAAAGCTAATTCTGTAGGTGCTCTAGACTGGGACTCCTGGTACATGTGTACCCAGAGTCATTTGAGGCCTTGAAAAATACCAGAAAGAGCCCCAGATTTGGGTCAGCGATGGAGGGAGGCAGCTGTGGGGCCAGCCAAGGGAGAGGATGTGAGATTGATCTAGGTGGCCTAGGACTTGGGAGGGTCTGGTCAGCTCTCAGGCTGTGAGTGGGGAAGTATGAGCCCCTGAGCCCAAAGGGGGTGGCAGCCCAGTGCAGGGGACTTCCTGCCCCTGAGGCTTAGTGGCCTGCCCTTTCCTTTCCTTGGGGTACTGCTCACAGCACCCCATAGACATATGCTCCTTTCTTTCCTCTGGTGCCCCATCCTTGGCTCTCTCCTGCCTCTTGCCATTTGAGATTCCTGTGTGTCTGAGTTCTTGGGCTTTGCCTGGGTCATGGGTGGCTAGCCAAGGTCAAGGAGCTCTTAGGGGTCCACTAGTCCTACTGGAAGTTTGGATTACTGGAAATCCTACTGGGATTTCAAGAGAATCGTTCGTGGATGGAAAGTTGTCAGGAAGAGCTAGTGTGGTGTGGGGCGGGGTCCTCCACCTCGGCCCTTCTCAGCCCCACACCCTGCAATGTGGTGGACCCCCCTTCTTGCACCCTCACAGGATAGTCGTGATGCCCATAGCCCGCGAGTTCTCTCCAGATCTGGTCCTGGTGTCGGCTGGGTTTGATGCTGCCGAGGGCCACCCGGCCCCACTAGGTGGCTACCATGTCTCTGCCAAATGTAAGGAGGGTCCAGCCCAGGGGAGGCGGGAATGAGGGCTGGGCTGGCAGGGAAGACACTGCCAAGGCAAAGGGAGGCGGCAGTGCCAGCACATGGCCACGAGCGTGAGGACCCTATGGGGTGTGGCCAGTGGCCTTGGAGTGCCCCAGCTCTCCTTGCTAGCACAGCCCAGGACCTCTCTCACGGTCAGGTCAGCACCACGGAAGGCCTGACCAAGCCACACCCTGGGGGACCTGTCTCAAAGAAAGTGCAGCCGCAGGTCCCCTCATCCCAGTGGTATCACCCCAGCTGGCTTCCTCTGAGAGGGTGGGGAGGAGCAGTGTTCTGCGGAGCCTGCTGAAATCTCCTATCCATCCTGAGCCTTGAGCGAGGCTTGCTCATTGGTCCGGTGTGGCACCCTGGCGGAAGCACGTGGGGACTGGAGATGATGCACCCGAGTCCCTGCGTGACAGGGAGGAGCAGTAGGAAAATAATGGGTAGAGTGTGCGTCCACTTCCTCACTCCTGCTCCCTTCTACCCTTGCCCCCCCCCACCACCTAGGTTTTGGATATATGACACAGCAACTGATGAGCTTGGCGGGAGGTGCAGTGGTGCTGGCCTTGGAGGGTGGCCATGACCTCACGGCCATTTGTGATGCCTCTGAGGCCTGTGTCGCTGCTCTTCTTGGCAACAAGGTGAGCTCCCTACTCCCAGGTCTGCATCTGTGAGGCAGGATGTCCCGCTGCCCCAGGACTGCCCCAGAGAGTAGGCAGATGGACCATCTCCCCAGTAGCTTGCACTTGGGGTGCGGGTAAGACAAGGGGAACAGAGTGGGCAATGGTAGCATCTCTGGCCCTCGGCAGAGCCAGAGCTGATGTCTGGGGCTCTTGGAGTGGAGAGCTGAGGCTATGGGTCCCCAAGAGACTGGAGGCTAATGTACAATTTTCTGTAGGTGGATCCCCTCTCAGAAGAAGGCTGGAAACAGAAACCCAACCTCAATGCCATCCGTTCTCTGGAAGCTGTGATCCGGGTGCACAGTGAGTTTGGAGAGAGGATCCCCATGGATCCCACATGGAGGAGAACCTTGGGGGTGTCCAGGTTTCCAGTGCCAGCCATTCCAGGGCCTCTGCTGCTGGTCGGGCAGGACTCCCGTAAATTCCTTTACCCGGCAGTCGCGATGTCCCTCGAGCCTTCCAGTGGAGCCACTGCAGAGCGGCCTCTTCAAAGCAGGACTGGCCTTCCTTGTCCAGCCTCTGCCACAGGCTGGGGTTGGGCCAGTAGCCACACGAAGCCTTGCTCTCTGAGAGCCCTGGTTCCCACCTCGACCCTCAGGCCTTGCTACGTGGGTCTGGGGGGCTCTGCTGGCTTTGGTGGTTGAGTCTTCGAATAACCCCTTTTGGAAAGCACATAACACTTCCCAGCTTTCACTCAGCATCTGTGGAGCTTGCGGCCTGTGTTAGGGCAACGCCCGTGTCTCAATCTCTCCCCATGTCAGGGCTCAGCTGCTGCTGGTGCTTGGCACGGACCCCCCACATCTGCCCTGCTCCTGGCTCTGGGTGTCCCGTAGACGCTACTTCTCATGACAGGCAGGGTGGCGGTGTCCTGTCTGGATGAAGCAGTGGAACCCAGGGTGGGGGGGCTTGCCGAGGGCCACGCAGATCAGGGTGGTGGCAACTCCCCTGTCTTGCATCCCACCCTGGCCTCTGCTGCTCTGGGTGTTGCTGGACTGCATTTGAGGGAGGCTGTGCTCTGGTCACAGCCCTCCTGCTGGGGACCCCCAAGGGGACCAGTCAGCTGGCTGTTCAGCCCCAGAGGTGAAGGATGGGCCAGGCACCTGCTCGGCCCTTCCTCTCCTCTCTCAGGGCTCTGGGAGACCAGGTCCTGGAAGGCATTTTTTTTTTTTTAATTTATTTATTTGTGCATACAGAACTGGGGTACAGGCCAGAGGCTCAGGGGCATTGAGAGGCTTCACCAGAGACAGAGTGGGGAACAGAACAGGCAGATCGACGAAGTACACTGCTGAGGGGAGCAGCGGGCGGGTCAGGAGAGGTCTGCCACGCCATGTGGTCACCTCCGGGGCAGGCCGGAATCGAACTCATGCGGAAGTGGCTTTAGATTCTCAGTGCTGTGCTTTAACCCGCTGCGCCACCAGGAAGGGCTGGAAGGCACATTTTTTGAGGGTAGGGACAGGTGGGCAAGCTGACACGCCTGCTTCTCTCAGACCCCCAGCCAAGATGCCCACCTCCCTCATCAGTCTAGAATGCTTCCCTTTAGGGTGGCAGGGCTTGTCTCCCAATGCTTTCTGACCTGGTTTCTTGTCCCAGGTAAATACTGGGGCTGCATGCAGCACCTGGCCTCCTGTCCAGACTCCTGGGTGCCCAGGGTGCCAGGGGCTGACGCAGAAGTGGAGGCAGTGACGGCACTGGCATCCCTCTCCGTGGGCATCCTGGCTGAGGAGAGGTAACACCAGAACCCCCGCCTTGACCGGCAGCCTCTCTACCCCTTGGGGCTCTTCCAACTGGAGGACCCCAGTTCCTAGCACAGCCCCCCCAGCCTTTCAGGCCCTCCTGACAGCACCCCAGCATCCCCTTTTTGTCCTTCCAGGCCCTCAGAGCAGCTGGTGGAGGAGGAAGAACCTATGAATCTCTAAGTCTTCGGAACCAATCTGCCCATTCACCCCACCCTTTGGACCTGGTTCTCTTCTAACAGCTGGCAACAGTGTCCCTCCCCAGGGTCTTCAGAGATCCTGTGGGCAGGTAGTCAGGGCCAGAGAACAGCCTCTCGACAGTCACCCCAAGGAGCTTCAGGAGGCCCCTGGCTCTAGATGGGGACAAAAGGGACCCTGGGAGGAGGCAGGCTCGGCAGGCAGCCAGCAGGCCTCAGCGGGGCTCTCCCAAGAACAGCATCTACCCTGTGGGGTCCAGGCCCTGGCTGGGCCCCCATTCCTCAGGACTGCACAGAGGACACTGGCTTGGTCAGGCCGCCTTCCCCACCTGTAACCACTATTCTTGGTTCTGTAGACTCGGACTTTGCACACAGCCCCAGACTCCACACAGAAATGTGAACTTGGCCTCTGTCAGGGTGGCCCTTCCTAGGCTCTGAGGGCCGGGGCTGGGAAGTGGTGATGGGGAGAAGCCAAGGGGTCCCATTCCCTGAGTCGGCCAGCGCCTCTTCCTACCTGCCCCCTCTAATGGCTCTGGAAGCTTCCCCTGCCCCTGAGCAGTGAGATGATGCCCCTCCCAGAGCCCTCACCAGCAGGCCTCCCGTCTGGTCCTGCCCCGCCAGAGGCTGCTGCTTGTCACCATCTCAGTGCCCGGTGGAGCAGAAGGTGCTTGGCGTTTTGTGCTTCCTGACCCAATGGTGCCAAACCCTCATCTCCCCTCAGGAGCACAGCAGGGCCTCCAGGGATCCCTCAGCCTTTGGCCCCTCCACGAGCCTGCTCTTTCTGGGGTCCCCCACCCCAACTCTGATTCCCACCCACACAGGACTAGCTTGGCTGAAGGGGGGCGGGAGAACAGAGGCAAGGTGTGGGGAGGGGAGGCTGCCCTGGCAAAGTCTTCACAGCTTCTAGGGTTCAGGCCTGGGGCCAAGAAGGAAAGTATTTGTGTGTGTGTAGGCGTGCGTGTGTACGTGAGTGTGTGTGTGTGTGTGTGTGTGTGTGTGTGTCTTTCCCAGCATCCACTGAACCCTGTGTATGTATGCATGTTTTTGTAAAAAAGGAAAAAAAGGAAAAAAAATCTGAACAATAAATGTTTTATTTGCTTTAAAGATGCATGTGAAGGGCCTCAGTAGGGGTGTGCAGTGGGCAAACAGTGGGATAGGATTTGGGGGCAGCGTACGGGACTGGGCTGGTGAGAGGCCATGCTCTCTCTAGCTCCCTGACTGCTGGCAGCCGTCCTGCAGGAGGAGTCCATTCTGAAGACATTCTGGTGCCCGGCTCGCCCCACCTTGGCGTGAGGAGGTGGCAGCTTTGGCCCGCTTCATGGACAGAGGCCTGTGGACCATGCACATACGCTCAGCCTAGCTTGCTAAGGCTCAGGCCCTGAGCCTTCCCTGGGTGCAGGCCCCAGCTGGGGGCTCAGCTAGATCACCGCCTGGGCCCTGAGCGCCAGCTAAGGCTCTACAAGTACATACGAGTTATGGTTCCTTCCTGCTGTGACGCATCATGACTTCTTACACATGCATTGTGACCAGAACAAACGGGCGAGGCGGCAGGCCCTGGCAGGCTCACTCAGGGTAAGCAGGCAGGAAGGTGCAGGCTGCCAGCACTCTGTTTTTAGGGTTTGGAATGGTCGGCCCGCCTTCTCCAACTAGCAGGAGTGGCAGCCTCATGACCTCAGGCTTGGCCCCACACCCAAGAGAATGGAGGGAAGGAGGCTCTTGCCACTCTCATCTGTCCTGGCCTCGTGACAGACCTAAAATCCCATGGGGGGGGGTTAAATGCTGTGCTGGGGGTATCCTCACCCTAGGGCTGGGGGTTGGAGGAGGAGAGCTGGTGGGCCCCTGAGCCAAGAGGGGCCAGAGGGAGAAGGCCTCCAGTCCAAGACTCTGACCCCCTTTGCCCACCTGCGCACAGTCTGAGCTGAGGAAATGGCTCATACTAGAGAACCATCACCATCTCGCCCCCCCTGCACAGCACCCCTCCCCCCTCCCTCCCCCCGCTCAGGTCCCACCTGTGAGCAACAGCTGGAAGCTGTCTTAACACTGATGACCACTGTATTTCTGCTAAAGTGACAGTGACACAGATAAGGCAAAAGAACTGGGGCTGGCTACACCTGCAGGGAGGGGTGGGTATGCACCCCTAACATGAGACACGCAGCAGCAGCAGCCCCCCTCAGGTCAGCTGGGTCCCAGGCTGGGGTGCGGACAGAGAGGCAGGGTCTGTTCATCAGAAGGGAGATGTTTTTAAAAGATAAAAATTTCAGGAAACAGGCTGTGAACAGGGGTGTCATCTCATGTGAGGGACCAGCGTGTCCTGGGGGCAGGTGTGGGGAGGTAGGGTGGGAATACAGGCCTGAGGTTGAGGGGTTCCTTTGGGTCTCCACTGCCGCCCTCTTCCCCAAAGCCCTGCTGGGGCAGGAGCACCTTCCCCAAGACCGTTGGGCCGGCCTTGTTGGGAGTCTCGCTTTAGGTGCGGGGGGGCATGTCAGAGAGGTGACTTGAGTGTGCAGGGCAATGATGGCTGTTTCTGGGACACCCACAGACCAGCCCTGGGTGAAGCTGGGTGGCAGGAGGGACACACTCCACACCCTAGGGACAGCCCCCTGATGACTTCCTGGGGGCTGGGGGTTGAGATGTCTCCAGCAGAGACCCTATGTGTAACCTGGCTGGAGGGAGAATGCCGGGCAGCAGGGACCAAGCCACCTGCCCCTGGCCACACCCCAGGACCTCACTGTCCTACCCCTTAATTTGTTACCCTGGCCCCAGCTTACAAAGATTCCTCACTGAGTGCTAAGAAAATAGATCCATCTGAGAAGGCCCAACGTGGCCCTCCAGCAGGGTGGAGGGAGGCCAACATGGCACCTGCACTTGGGTCTTCCTGGAGGGGATGTGGCAGTTTTCCTTGAGACCTCAATCCTGTGGCTTTGTATTTTGCCCCAGTTTTGGGGTCCACAAGGTGAGGCAGGCCTGCCTGATGTCTCAGAGGCCGAGTCCAGGTCCAGAGGCCGAGTCCAGGTGCAGAGGCCCCCCAGGATGTAGAGACCTCACCCCCTAGGTCAGAAATCGCTGAGGATGCTGATGTCGGCAAATTCAGCACGGTATCGGTGGGCATAGAGCCCCAGCAGGAAGGCCCACTTGAAGGCGATGAAACTCCATACGCAGGAAAGGTAGTAGCTGTTGGGATCTGTGAGGCCTGTGGGAGGAAGCAGCCAGTTGGTGACCTTGAGAGGACTTGCTCTTTGCCAAGGGTCTCCCTTTCCACTCAACATGCCAGCAACCTCTTGCCCAGGGTGACTGAATGTGACCAAGCCTTAAGAGCATCCAGGTTTTGCAGGAGGGGGCACGCGGGAATGATGGAAGATAGAACTGGCCAAGTCACAGGTCTGATCACTTCCTCTGCTTGCGTGTGACATTTACCCTGGGCCACTTCAACTCCTGTGAAGTATCTACCCAGGCGGGGCAGGGAGACCGGCCTTTGGCTGTGGCGGCCTGCAGCCACCAGAGGGCGCTCCAGCCTCGGGGCTGGGCCAGAGACTTGGCCCCAGTAACACTTGCCGGAGCCTCCCCGCACCTTGCGGAACCCTGGTGGGTGGGTACTCGATTCTCCCCTCTTTAACAGTGAGGATACTCAGGCACTGGGTGTCAACTAACCCTCCCAGCCCCTTGGATGTAAGCTCCGGAAACCCCTGCCGGCCTCCGTACCGCCCCCTCCTGGCCCCGCCCTCACGTTGATGTCGGGTCACAGCCAGCACCAGGAAGGTGCAGAAGGCGGCGATGGCGACGGCCGAGAATAAGACACCCACGAAGAAGAAGCCACGCAGTCCCTTGAGCCAGGTCCTCCAGTAATCCTGTATGTACATCACGTGGGTCACCAGGACCCAGAGCGCCAGCACACCTGCGGGGACAGACAGGTGAGCAGGACACTGCAGCCTCCTCTCAGGACCCTGCCAATCCAGTGAACCCTGGGGCCCTGGAGGTCCCAACAGCCAGGCCTGTTTGCATGATAAGGTAGCAATGGCCCTTTAATGCAGAGTAGACTTTTCCAGACCTGAAGGCAAGAGCAGGAAATCCAGTCTAGCTGCCTTTATTAAGCCAGACTAAAAAGATCCACAAAATATGACCCACTCTTCCTGGTTTTTCTGTTTTGTAAAACATGAGTATTTCTCATCAAAAAAGTAATCTATATGAAAAAATGTTGCTTTTAATATTTAAACATGCATTAAAATGTTGTTTTAGGGGGTTCTTTCTGGTGGCACAAGCAGCTTTGGCAGCCACTTCAGGTTCAATCCCCTGCCCCTGGAGGTGACCCACATGGCACAGCAGACCTCTCCTGTCTCTCCCCCGCTGCTCCCCTCAGCAGTGTACTTCGTCAAGCTGCCTGTTCTGCTCCCCACTCTGGCATGTCCTCTCATCGCCCCTGCACCTCTGGCCTGTACCCCAGTTATGTATGCATAAATAAATCAACCTTTAAAACAGAAACAAAATGCTGTTTTAAGACCTCCCTGGTGGGCTAGGGTTTAGATCTCAGCACTATCACCTGTATGGCCTGGCCAGTGAGTTAACCTAGGTGGGGCAGCAGAGCAGCCTGCTCCCCGCAGCAGTGTATTTCAGTAGATCCACCTGTTCTGCTCCCCATTCTGTTTCTGGTGCATACTCTCACACCCCCTGCATCTCTGGCTTACACCCAGTTCTACAAATGAATAAATAAATAAGAGTGTTGAAAAAAATATTTTTAATTTCTGATACATATTGACAGATATACCCATATAAAAAATTCTTTGGCATTTCACTACTTTTCAAGAGTGTGAAATGTCTTGAAGTCAGAAAGTTTGAGGCTGGTTGTAGCTTCTCACTCTCTGCTGGACACCACCCATCTGGGAAGTGATCCTCCCACCAGAAGCTGCTCCTCCACCCAAGGGCTACCACTTCACCCTCTCCAAACTGGGCAGCAGGGCGCTCCCTAGGCCCCAGCATGCAGGTGGCCTTCCTGCTTGTGGCCAGGTTTCATGTCATGCCCTGCAGTTTGCCACAAAGGGAGACCAGACACCCCCAAGGCTTTTCTGGGCTTGGCCAAGCATGTCCCCTAGGATGCCAGCTGCCACTCATTCAATACAATGAATACCCTCTGTGCCAGGCAGTGTCTGTCAGTGCAGCCCAAAGAGTGGAACAAATACCAGTTCCCCTGGCAAGGGTGCGTAGCAAGACTAAGCGGTCCTGGCAAATTGGGAAAGAGGGTGAGCCAGGCGCCTCCCCGGCCCTCAGGTGTGGGCCAGTGGGCTGGCAGCCTGGGGGTCAGGATACCTTTCACAGGGGTGCGGCATTCACTGTGCTCAGAGAGATATCTGCAGGAGAAGGGTAAGCTCTGGGTGGGAAGGTGGTTGTTGGTAGCAAAGGGTGAGGGGAGTTTGCTAGGGAAGTGGAATAGGAGAGTTTTGACTGAATCTACAGTTTTATTTTTTAGGTTGGGTAGTAAGTGCCAGGGAGTTTGCTAAATTGTCTAACCTTTTATTACATGCCGGAAATGTTTCATACATACGTTTTTTAAGTTGGGGGGAGAAAGCAAGGGGTGGGGCATCACTACAGAGCTCAGGTGACCAGCTCAGAACTGTGACATTTCAGGTGGCTGAACAAGAGACGGTCACAAGGAGGAGGGTCTTGGCCCTTCTCTGCTGCTGGGCCACCATTCAGGGCCTTAGGGTTTCCACATCTGAAACAGTGACCCAAAGGTCTCTCCACTGTGGACACTGAGTGACCCTAGGACTCTGCCTCCCCCCGGCCCCCCTGAGCCTATCTGACCCTCACTCTCTCTGCCCACTCCTAACTGTCCTTGGGGGCTAGAGGCCTGAAATGTGGTTCCCTTCACCCCTGAGATCAGGGTGAGCCAGGGAAGTAACTCTCCACCCCTGCCTGGGGCAGGCCCAAGGCGCATAGTACAATCCATGGCTTCACTTTCTATCTTGTGTGATCTGGTCTATGTGCCAGCCACGACTTTCCCAGAACTCCTTCCAACCCTCTCCCAGGCCTCCGACACTGCTTGGTATCTTAAAGGGCCGTGGGGTGGAGGTTTATTGTCACTGCAGACATCAAAGAACGGTCAGGTGGGCCCCAGCCTGGAGTTGCCCACCTGGCCTCTGTCTCCGCCACATGCCATGGGAGAGGTGGCCAGGATGAGCTCTAAGGTTCTTTACACTCAGAGGTTCTGGAAGCCAGCAGAGAAAAATAAGGTCAGAGTAATTCCTCCATGACTCAGCAATTTCTGGGTTAGAAAACACTGAAATAGGGGCCTGTGAAGATGCCATGTCTTAGCACTGGCCAGGCTCCAGTAGCGCCCTTAAAAACCCAGCTCACATACACCCACATACCACAGAGGGAGGGAAGCGGGAGGAAAAAGATGGCCTTGCTGGGTATTGCAGGTCCCAGGCACAACTTTACCCACCTGTCACTCCTGTGCATAGGCTTTATCCTCCAGACAAACACCAACTAAGTCTGGAAGCAGGCCTGCCCCCCATCCCGGCTCCCACTACTGACCTTGCCAAAGAAGCCTCCTCTACCAACTGGACCAGGTGGCGGAGTGAGGAACAGGAGTTCCCCGCGCCCCACACTTCAGGCACAGGCAGCTGTCCCTCAGCTCTAGACCTTCTGGACACTCTGGCTTCCAGGAAGCTTGGCCTGCACAGTGAGGGCACAAGGACAGGTGTCCAGGCTACCATCCTGCAGGCTCACCCCAGAGCCACCCCTCACCCTGCCCCAAGGGGCTCACAGCTGACAAAGGGCAAGAAAGGGACAAGGTTGGCAAGGGTCGTGAGCCTGGAGCCAGGCAGCCCACACCCACAGCAGGCCTGTCAGCAACAAAGGGACCAGGGGCCTGACTAAGTCCTCTCCAGTCACCCCTCACCCCGGCAGCAAGGCCTGCAAGCACAGTCCCCTCCCATGCAGTTCAAGGGGGAAGTACAATGCCTTTTCAGGTCCCCTGTGGTGACTTCTCTATTCTTTCCTTAGCCTACTAGGCCTGAGCGGGAGTCTATGGCCCCTCCAGGATCCCTTCAGAACAACCGTTTCTTTTGAAACTGCCTTTCCTCCAGCCTACTTCTTCCCAGACACCCTCCAGGGTGGAACAGAACGGTCTCTACCCTTGCATGCCGAGGGTCTTCATGGCAGACTGTCCCAGAAACCAGCCCCGCCTGGTATCCAGGGAAGGGGCCAGCTGGGGCTGGCCTCCCGTGACTCAGCAATTTCTAGGCTGAAAATGCCAAGTCAGAAGTGGGGTGCTCACGAGTTAGTATATCTGCTGATGCATCACCCCAAGAAGAAGGAAGACTGACCACTCCAAATGCTCTCAGAACCCAGTCAGGGAGGAGAGGGTATGTGGCCCTGCCCTTACAACCCCTCCCCCAACTCAGCACCCCACCACCAAGCAGCTTTGGCTCTTCTGGGGCCACCTCCCGCTTGTAGAAGGTCAGACTGGGCACGGATTAACTCCTTTGGGTTGTAGAGCCCTGGGCTAGGGCCTCTCCCGCAGGCAATGCCACACAGCTGCCAGTTCAGGATCTGAGAGAAGCCTGTGGAGGAAGAGAGAGCCCAGAGTTTGGGGCAGAGGGAACCTTCTGTCCTCACTTCATCTCCTAACCAGCCCCCTCATCTCCTGTCTCATTAATGCAACCACAGCACCTCTCCCAATGACACCTTCCCAAGTGGACTGCAGGAGGGCGAGGGGAATCAGAAAAATGGCAAGAAGGGGAAACATGGTAGGGGATTGGAGTACAGGGGGAAAGGACTTGGAGGTCTGTGGATAACTGAGCAGGGAAGGGCTGGCTGCCTTCAGGACGGAAGGACGAGTGCCCTCAGGAGGAAGGGCATCTAGGTAAGCATGAGGGCAGTCCCACCAGAGTGCCGGATGCCCTTCCTTGGTGAGCCCAACACCCTGCATGGCACTGCTTAGGGTGCCATTGGCCAGCGTCTCCTGAGGCACAGAAACCCCACCTATCCAGCCCTCCTCTATCCACAGGTGGGCTCAGTAAACTTGGAGGCAATGAGGAAATCTAGCTGTTTTAGTTGGTGTGGGGCTCTTTGGGCCCAGGATTTTAGCAATGGAATAAAATCAGATGTAAAAGTACTCTCCTTACATGTATTGCTTCCCAAAGTTCTTTTCCCACATACATTATTTCATGTAGCTGCGGACCTCTCAACAAGTTAGTTATTTACTCCAAATCAGTTTACATGTAAGCCCTGTCTGTAAAACAGGTGCATAATGATGCCACTTTCCTAGGGACACCGCATGAGCTGAAGGAAGCAGTCCCTGACACATACACAACATTTTAAAGAGCCTTGTTGTCTCATACAAGCGACATTTTGCCTTCACACATTCTCCAACACAAAGGGGTTAATCTTGTGCCCAAAGGTGCACAGGACCGAACACTGGTGGGCACAGGGCCCCACCGCTGAATGCTCACCCTGGCACGTGCTTCCCCTCCCTCCTCCAGGCACAGCAAGGTGGGCTGGCAGGCTGACCAGACCCTGGCCGGAGCCACAGCACAGGAGGAGCAGAGAGACACCACACTGGTGGCAAAAAAATGTCGGGTTTCCATCAGATCTTTCATACTGCCCCCCAGGTCTCCGCAGGGGGTCCACGTTGTAAGAAGGGACAGGAACACCCCAGAAACCCCCAGCTTTCCTCCTTTCCACCGTCTCTGCCTTTACCCGGTCCGCAGCGAAGGGTTGCACGGAAGGGCGATTCCCCAGAACAAGTGTGCTTGTCGGGGTGGGGGTCATCGCACCCGGCTGAGGGAGGGCGAGGGGAGCCGGCGCGCAGGGACGCCGCTGTCTCCGGCGACTGGGCAGAGTGGCCGCGCCAGGGGTGCGGGGCGAGTGAACCCCCGCAGCGCGGCAGGTCGGTGCTCGGCGAGCGCAGATCCTAGGGTGGCCGGGAGGATCCAAAGAACCGGGACCAGCGCGGGGCCTGGGCCGCGAACCCACGCCCCGGGGTAAACACCCCACCCTCTCCCCGGGGAGCGCCGTCCTCAGGAGCCTCCCGAGTGGCTGACAGCGCCGCCCCGGCCCGCCCCGCCCGTTGCCCCCCAAACCCCGACCCCGGGCCCCGCGTCCCGGGGGTACCTGCGAGCCCCCCCATGGCCGCCGTCCCCGGCTGTCTGTAGACCACCGTCCAGACGAGGAAGATGGAGAAACCGGCCACGGAGCTGAAGCCCGAGTA